TTGAGATGTTTTTTGAATTTCTAGCTTAAAGAATCATTAAATCCATAACTTGATGCAGTTTGGAAGAACTGTAATCCAGCTTTATTAAGCCGTTGTACAGACGTTGAATTTGGAGAAAATCCTCAGTTGTAAAGTTTAGTTAAGTGCTGGAAAAACAGTCCTCATTGAAAATCGATCTCTAAAATTTCTAATTTTTAATATCTATAAAAATTTATGAATTTTAAAGTAGTACACTAAAAACGAATGTAACCTTCTATTTCATGACAAAAATTTACATAGCCTACCATACTGAAAGCGCCTTTTGGTTTTCGTTATGTAAGATACCTCATAACTCATTTAATAACATAATCCATATTTTTGTCTTATTCTGCATAAAAAAAATGAAATAGATTGCTTTATAGTAACGCATATATCTTCACAAAGAAAAAGAATAAAATAATAACATAAATTTTATTGGCAATTATATAATTTTGTTTTCTGGCTCCTAGGGTGCATTGGCAAGAACCCTCGCACATGGGTCTAATAATTTCACCTAGTATCACCAAGAAAATGTTTCAATGAATTCGGCGAACCTACATCCTTAACCTACCCTTGGTAGTAACGACAAAGGGTGCAAATATAGATAATATAACATCTGTTTATTACATAAAAACACTAAGTAATTTTTTAATTGATCTTATTTATCTATCCGAAAGAAAACAGTGCATCAAAATGACACACACTCTTTTATATATCGAACGTTCATATACATATCTACTTAAACCCATTTGGACATACACCCCACATATCAACAAAAAAGACTCGCTTACAAAAACTACAATCTTTTCAGTCCAAAATTTTAAGACCAATAACAGCAGTTCCCTAGTACGCTACCGTAAAAAATTAACCTACTGATTTAGGTCAAGCAACTACCGACCAACACATAGGCACTATTTACTCCTTTATTAAACTACAAGGACAAAACAAAAGACTTATAAACAACATAGTCACGGTTGATATGCCCACCAGGAGGTGACTGAAAAGGAGCTGGGTGAGAGATTTCCTGTTCTGATTTTAGGAAGTAAACAAAGACCAGGATGAAGTGTTCCTGGGTACTCTCTTTCCCAATGCCTATAATTATTACCTACAACATCAGATGATTTTCAATTTCATGACAGGTACAGATGAAGGTGTAAAGAGAGACAAAAAAAATTAGTCGTTATTAAATTAAATCATTAATAGTCCATTAGTTTTTCGTCACTGTCCATTATCTTTATAACTTTATAAGTCAATTATTGTTTTTCTAAAATGTTTGATATTAAGGGTGTATATTTCCGAGAATTAGTTTTTAACGTACAGAAATATTTTTCCAGTATCTCTTCGATTTCAATACCAAATTATTTTATAGTCAAAGCAATTTTCTTTCACCAGAAGTAATTTTAAGCAATTTTCTTTCATCTTTGTATTTCTGGCCCTCAGAAATACAAAGATGTATCCAAACCAGATTAATAACGAACTGAGGATAACAAGCAAGAATAAATTGGAAGCTAGAATAAAAATAAAGCTTTGCTCATTCCACATAAATTATTTTCTAAACAAAAGAACTATTAAAAATAAATATATCAAAAAAATACATTTTGATTATATTTTGTGTTATTTGCTAAATTTTCTATTGAATTTCGAAATTTCTATTTATACATAATAAAGATTATATATATGTACACACACACACATATATATATATATATATATATATATATATATATATATATATATATATATATATATATATATAATTAATAAATTATAATTATATACATGATGTTCTGATTTTCTAGAGTGAAAATCCATCTAAGTGCATAGTAATTTATTTTTATGAAATATTGTAACAAACCCACATTATGATTTTATTCTGTATTTATGGTAACTGTAAGTTTGTCATTAAATATTTAACTTCTTTTTTTTTTTTTGCACTTACATATATTTATCCGCACCTGTCAATTATAACTATTGACAATCAGCAGATGTGCTAAATATTTAACTAAACTTAAAAATTAGGAATCGTTTACTGTAGTACCAATACTGCAACATTAATTTTTCGAAATAAATAAGTTAATATTACTGGTACTGGTAAAGGAAATTAGTTCATCAAGTGATCCCCTTTGACAATCGTTAACGGACACCTATAGGTTGCTACCTCAAACTAATCAAGATTCGTTTCTCAGCCACCGAAAAATAAATTTTAGCTAACCTAGGTGAGAATCGAGCCCGAGCATTTTGGGTACCTCGTTCCAGCGAACGGGCTCTAAATTATGAAAAAATAACCCAAGTTACATGACGTCCACGTCCTACTTCTGTTGGTTTTGTTTTTTAAATATTTTATTATTACTTCTTTTGTTTGTCGAAATTAAAAATATTAATATGAATTTTTTACTCTCTAAGTATTAATCTATGGAAGTATACACGGTGTATTTGATGAATTCTTTTAATTCAAAAGAAAATTTGGTTAACTTATATTTAAATCTCTCTATGATATAAAAATGTTTTAATGACCGTGTAATTTTTTATTTTATATATTTAAAAAACTAGACGGATCACACTTCTTATTCCATACAATACAATCTAAACTATAGAATACGTGTAAATTACAGATATACAATTAGAGCAACGAATAGCGCAATTAAATGAACAGTTGTATAATTTGTAAAATGAAGGTTGTCCCGCCGTTAGGCGGATAGGAGGTATTCCCCTAGTTTATCTATTAATTGATTTATTTGATAAAATAACATGATACAATTTTTCATTTCATTTCATTAATATGATACATAGGCAGGTTTATTTAGAAGAGAATTATAAGTTGTTTTGATTTTAGCGGGGCCCAAAGATAAATGAAACTGTTTAAACAATCTCTGATTTTATATAATTTCGTAAATGTGTAACTTCTTTTTATCTTAGGAGCAACCATTGCTTATAATTCTATATTATTAATCTACATTTTTGATATTATCGTAATTTTTCTTTTTATTTATACAATGCAATTGGCGTCTGGGTAGAAATAATCTTTATTTTTATGTTCTCAGCTGTTATTTTTAAAGAAGATTGTCCACGAATATAATTATTGTTCTATTCTATTCGCTTATTTTGGGTAGATCCCGATTTTTCGAATCATTAAAAAAAAAATTATTTCCAAGGCATTTCCAAGGTATGTTCAAATAAAATTATTCTTTCTTGAACTTTGGTGTACATGGCAGAAAATGCGTTTTTTTTTACCCTGGCAGGGGCTCTGAAACGTGATGATTAATTTAAAAATACGCATCAAAAATATATCCCTATTAATACACATTCCTTACCTATGAGCGGTTAGAAAGGAAAAATAAAATAAAATGGAAGTTTCTGAGGATGTAAAACCATGGAAAGCCTAACCTATCGCTTTTCCAGTCCTCTAGAGTGAATATCAGGTCCTGCGTTAGGTTTAGGCCAGGGTCTCCAAACTTTTTGGTCTGACGGTCACATTGAGAATTCGACCCGAAGTCCCGCGGACCGCACTGGGACCTCCCCCCAAGTCCCGCGGAACATGGCTTGTGATGAAGATAAAAAAAAAAAGAGCTTTCTAAAATAAAATAAACATGAAATAAATTTTTAAGTAACCTCGTGTCTGAGTAATCTGCTAAATTTTATAGTTTTTAAAAGTTTACCACGCAATTTAATCGTGGGCCATTGTTAGAAAAGACCCCTGTGTTAAGGTATAACGCTTATATGAGAAGGAATTAGTCGAGGGTGCGGTCAAAAAAAATAAAAAAAAATTAAAATATATAAATAATTTTAATTTTTGCCGACGTTTCGACCCACTTTGCAGGTCGTCTTCAGGGCGTTGGATGTGGCACTGCGGGAGGCGGTTGAAACACTGGCAGTCAATATAGTCAATATAGTTGAACTATAACGCTTATAGTTGAGTATGGGCGCTGATTTTATAGATGTTGGTCGAGAAAAGAACTTTCTTGCAAAATATTAAACCATGACAAATCTATTGAGTTTTATTGGAAGGGTATGGTCTATTCAAGAAAATATAATTTAAAAAAAAATATGAATAAAATAATTATTTCAAAGCGATTTATTGGAGTCTCAATGAGCTCAACGAAGAATCGAATTAATACCAGAATGAAAAAATGAATGTATCTATTGTGTATACTAGTCATTAACTCATTAGAATAAAAAAAAAAAATATTGTTGAATCAAAACTACAATTATAGAAGAAGGTTTTTTTATTATTAAATATAAAACCTTGTTGCTACTATTTTCATTAATAGCACTTAGGAGGAGATGATTAAGATATTTTATTTGGATAGGTTGCGGTATGATGGGAGTTAAATCGCCATTTGTCGGTGTAGTTGTACTTATTTAAATATATTTATTTTATTTATTTGTTTTTGCATCAACCCTTATGGAATATTGCTTTTTATGTGTAGGTAAATTTTAAATTTTCTGTGCTGTCAATACCTCATTAGATAAGGCCTATTATAGTCTTACGTCTTAGTAGGTTAATATTTATATCATTAATTTATAATCTTATAATTAGTATATATAGATATATCTGTATTTTTTTTAACTTACTTATCTTGAAGTTAATTCATTTTAATTAATTTATTTATTTTACCTATTTATTCATTTTAATTAAGTTGTCATTTTGGTTCTGTGATATTTTATTTATGTATACATGGTGTGAATTTAATATCGCTAGAAAAGAGTCGGATTAATTATTACCAATTTTGAGGGTAGGTTTTAGATATATAATAGCTTTTTTTTCTGGATATAAAATGGTTATTTTTATTAAATTTTTATTTATAATTTAGGTTAGTAAATAAGTTCAGATTTTGATGAATTCCTGTTCGGAACTCTTCAGTTAGAAGTTGAAGTTTTCGTGTCCGTCTTCTGTGATGCAACCCCTCGCCCGTACCCCCTCCATTTCTACCCTTCTAGTATATATACCCACTGTCAGCTTGTCTTCTTCGTACTCCGATCATCTTCAACTCATCTTCTCATCATGGCAAAGGTAGGCATACGGTACATCGTCGTCCGAAACGCTCAAATGATTTTCAAACAACGGTAGTAGTATCAAGATACTTGGGATCATTCTTGGATTCACTTGGCAAAAAAAATTAATTTCATGACACGATTCTTAGATTCGATATTTTTCTTTTAGCATAAATACAAACAAATATTTTTGCTCATTTCTCATGAATATATTTTTAAAACGAAAAAACATACTAAAAAATAAATATATCTAATTTTCATAATATTCTTTTGTTCTGGTCTGCAAAATTTTCATTGGAATTACACAATTTCAATTTATTCATATTAAAGATTATATATATATACGCATTTATTTATCAAAAAAATATTTTAACTTACATATCTGTTTGGAATCAATGATATAATATACCTTCTAAACCAATTTTATCAAAATATAAATCGAGATAAAATTATTTATATATTTTAAACAAAATATTTTAATGAGTTCATATTTTAATTGTTATTCAAAATTTAATATTTATTCCAGCAAAGGCTATATTAAGATATATGAGATACAATATAATAAACGAATACATTGCCAAATTTTTTACTGAAAATAATTTTGATTAACTAAAATTATTGACTTGAATAACAGAACAACCATCATATATATATATATATATATATTATATATAATATATATATATATATATATATATATATATATATATATATATATATATATATATATTATTAACGTCATTTTATATTTAATAAAAGCTCAATCTTTATTAAACTAAACTGAAAACTGTCTAAAATATTTATAGTTTATTTGTTATCTAATACAAATTTTCGTTCTTTTTTATCATGTATTTTATGTTTTCATTTGTTTATTTTAAAATATAATTTGAAATATTCATACCATTCCGGTGTTCGGTTTGACCGGGTCCAAAGCTGTTAGTAAGTCAACGTTATTCGAGGTTTTATTAGTTATGAGGTTTATTTTTCTGATAATTTACTTTTCTGCGAGTTTTTTTTTTTTTTTGGTCTTATAACCTGTCTCTTATTTTTATTACTTAAATCTATATTGTCACCCCTGTTAAATTCTTAACAACGCAATTTAAACATTAATTTGATCAACAAATGTTACCGATATTTTCTCTTACAATATGTTTCGGGTAGTTGAGTTTTTATTTCTTCTCAATGTTAAAGTTTATATCTGACGATAGAAGGAAACAGTACTGCTATATTTAACCTTTTTTGTTTTTTATTCAACCTCGAAAAAAATTGGTTCAAGAAGTCTTAAAATGCGCAAACGTTTATTATTTACAAGCAAGTAAATGTATAAGCTTTCATAATAATTTTCAAAACAAATGTGACGTATCATCTTTTATTTTTACATCATAAAATTAACTTTCGTTATTGCAGGTATTGCTTTTAGTCGCTGCTGGGCTTTGCGCAGTTGTAGCCGAGCCTCCCGTGAATACTTACCTTCCCGCAGCCACAGGTGTCGGCTTAGGAAGAAGTATCGGGGGACCTTCCTCTACCTATGGAGCTCCAAGTACAGGAATCTCTGGCGCACCATCCTCACAATACGGTGCCCCTTCATCACAATACGGAGCCCCGTCTTCCCAATATGGTGCTCCATCTTCCCAATATGGTGCTCCATCTTCCCAATATGGTGCTCCATCTTCCCAATATGGTGTACCATCTTCCCAATACGGAACACCTTCATCACAATATGGCGCTCCATCTGCCCGTTACGGAACTCCATCCTCCGGTTTCGGTGGACGCACTCCCACTGGAGTATATGGTGCTCCAAGTGCTCGAACTGGAGCTCCATCAAGCCAATATGGTGCCCCAAGGTTTAGTGCAGGATCTCCATCTTCCCAGTACGGAGCTCCTAGCGGTGGATCTTACAATGCTCCATCTTCATCCTACGGAACTCCCTCTTCCAGAGTACCATCTTCCTCTTATGGCACACCTTCAACTCAATATGGAGCACCAGGATCAAGAACTCCTTCTGGTCTTTATGGAACTCCAGGTAGGTTCACCGGAATTTCTAGCGATGCTGTTGTCACTAATGCTGCTGATGGTGGTCAGGGAGGATATGGACAATCTGGAATTGGAGGAGGATACGGCTCAGGTGGATATGGACAAGGAGGATACAAGAATGGAGCTGGTTATGATGATCAATCCGTAAGTTATAGTTATTTTAAATATAATTCCTTTACCATAATTCTATTTCATTTTGAAAATTAAATAAAATTTCGATGTTAGGTACCAGCTAAATACGATTTCAACTACGAAGTGAACGCCCCAGAATACAATGTTGAATTTGGCCACCAAGAATCTCGTGATGGTGACGACACCCGAGGATCCTACCATGTCCTTCTTCCCGACGGCAGGAGACAACTTGTTGAATACGTTGCCGATCTTGAAGGATACAAGCCCAAGGTAAGCTACCAAGACACAGGAGCAGCATACGGTGCTGGTGCAGGTGGTTACAGCGGTTCTGCTGGAGGTTATGGCAGCGGCTCAGCCGGTGGATACAGCGGATCAGCTGCTGGTGGTTACAGCGGATCAGCTGCTGGTGGATACAGCGGATCAGCTGCTGGTGGATACAGCGGATCAGCTGCTGGTGGTTACAGCGGATCAGCTGCTGGCGGATACAGCGGATCAGCTGCAGGCGGATACAGTGGATCCGCTGCAGGCTACAGTGCTGGCGGCAGCTCTGCGGCAGGTGGCTACTATGCAGGAAGCTCAGGAACTGGCAGCGGACCTTACTAAAATCTTAGGCAACTAACAACTTGTGTATTTATTTTTTTATAATTTAATTTTTGCAAATAAATAATTTTTTTACAAAAAAGGATCAAATTGTTTTTATTTTCATATTCTTAAGACGCTCTTTGCTTTGATTAATGTGTATATACGATAAACATAAACGTATGTACATATGTTTGATGTTCCCAAATATGTACTTCTTTTTCATTAACACTGCGGATGTATGAAACTTAATCTCTGAATTACATGAAAATTATTAAAATTCATAATCTCGGAATTAGATGTTTTTTCACTAACAGTGTCTAACTGATAATTCTAGTCACACTTTATTTCAATAAAATGGAAAATGTTTGTAGATACATACATACATATTAAACATTACATCTCTTGAAAATTGAAGGAAAATAAATAGTGTCTCTATAATATCTCATCGTTTTTGGAACTTAAAAATAAGTTCCTTTCCGTTTTGAATTTTAAATAAAATTATGTATATGGTTATAATACAATTAAAAACACGTCTAATAAATCACACTACATTTAAAAACTAATATAACTTGGTGTATATTTACTCCCTATCTCAATTTATGCCGTTAAATTCCTAAAAATTGGATACATTTTAATTATTAAATGGAAAATTATGAAATTTGATTCCCGATTATTTGTAAATTGTTAATTAAATTTCCGCCTTTTTTATCCAAACCGATTGAACCGTTTTTGATGAAAATAACCTTTGAGGATCCAAAAGTAAAAGTAGTGAATGGAATTTGATAAAATTGATATGGGGAACATCTCTGTACCAACCCAACCCTGAATTTTTTTATCGAAATCGGATTAACATTAGTAGGGGATGTGCTCATCATATGAATTTGACTAATTACAGAAGAGGCACACACGAAACCAAAATTGTTTCATGATGTCAACAATTTAAAAAGTCTGTTGAAATTTTCAATTCGGAGCTCAACATTTTGTTTAACTTCAGGAAGGAATACAAAGCTTCCTTTTTTTCGCTAGTGAGGAAGTAATAAAAAAAATCTCAAGTTATTCATATCAATATATTTGTAAATTATTTTTTACAGCAAATATTGTGAATTTTAGATTACTTTATTTACTTACCAACAATAATTAATGTTCTCGCATAGTCTAAGCCAATGCAAAGTCATAAAACTGTAGGAACAATCGATATCACAAAAAAAAACATCCGGATCAATTTATATAATCGAAGCAGAAACAAAATCTCAGACCAGAGTTTACTATTACACAAACTACTTATTACATATGTAAGTATCTATAAGATTTGTCAAAAAATCTATTGTAGAAGCCGTTTTGAACTATTATCAAGCAACAAAGCACTCTTATGCGAAAGATGCAGACGAAACTTCATAAAATCTATATTGAACCAAATAGGTTTCAAAATCCATGAAAATTTCATAAAATTTAATATCACAAATTTTCAGTTTTGAAATATTGAAGTACCAAGGAGAATACTTTTATACATCAGTTGCTAAAGAATTATTTGAAAGTAGTGGATGGTGACTCGATCGTTTTTTTTTTTTTTTTAACCTAAGCCTAATATAATGTATTATTTTTGAGATACATAAAATACATTTTAGTTATGTTTTACCATAGGAATAGTGGTTGAAATTCGATACTATTGATTCAGCCAGTTCGTCACTAGCTCGACATACATTAGATGTACCATCAATACAAGTCCTCCTAAGTGATAACCAATTAATTAACATTAAAAATAACACAATAAAATGTACTATCAATATAGATGGAATTAATTTAACATTTTTTTTTTTTGCAAATTGAACAAGTTATTTCATGAAGATTTTTCCTACCGTGTCAATACCGGTCAAGCCAGATCATCTAGGACCTGACAAGAAGTCGAGTAGATACCGATGGCTGCAATATCCAGCATAAAAATTATAAGACAATGATGAACTTGTGTTATCATAAAAATATTTCCTTCTTAAAGAAAGTTGGTATTTTCTTGTTGCATTACATTTAATAATTTATTAAATACCAACATTATTTTGTTGACAATACCGATACCGCAACACGCATAATTAAAAAAAAAATTATATTTTAATAAATCTCTTTAAACTCAATAGTCCTCTTGAATGCTATATATCATTTGGAATGGTATTGCATACTATTTCAAGCAATATGGTTGCATTTGTGAATTCAAATTTACTGTATTAAGTTTAAATTGTAATAATACTTTTCAAACTCAAAAGCCGTCTAATATATTGTTTGCATTTGATACAGAATTTTATGCTGTTCTAATTAGTACATGGTTGTATTAGGGTATTCGGAAAAAGATTTTAGCTACAGGTAATTTTCTATATTTTTATCACAGCTTTGAAAATTTATGTTTAAGAATATTTTTATAAATACGAAAACTTATAACGCTAAAACTTAATGGTATCAGCAGATTATGCATTAAATTTATGATATAAATAAATCGGACTATGCAAGGTATCTCCGGAAGGGGTCTCGGATTTTGTTTCTTAACTAAAAGATATTGTAAACGACTGAAAAGTTGTTATATAAACCTCTGACGAGTAATAATTTCTATTGGTTACATAATTAGCTGCATTCAAGGTCTATGATTTATCGTTGTAGAATAAAATCTATGGAAAGAACATTTTTGCAGTTCAATTTTTGCAAGTCAAAAAGTCATTTGTTGGTGGCTATACTTTTCTATCTAAATGCCCTTTATTCATATACCTCTTCCTCTGAAGTACCTTTAATATGGTTAAAACTGCTAAATATAACTTTTGAAAGAATTTAATAATTCAATAAAGGAGAAAAAAAAATAAAAATGCATATACAGGTCGAAAATGAATCTCCGGAAATACAAATAAGAAGGTATAGAATAGAATATATCGTTGGAAAGCGGAGAATTTTAGAAAAAAAACAATATCTAATATAGAAAGTACTTGAAGGTAACGGAGAGTAGCGAAAAAATTATAAATAATAATTTTTGAAAACTACTATTATTTAACGAGTCACATGTTTTCAAGGAAATTAAATGAAATTTAATAACTAAATGACATTGTTTAAAAAAGTATTTCATTGTACTTGTGTGAAAGAAGAAGTAAAATATAAAAGCATTTCATAGATGTATATAGCATTTTTTTATACATATGCATATGTTTATACAAATGTAATAACCTTAAATACATTTACTGTAGTTTAATAATTCTAGATCTGATATTGCATTAAAATAAATAGACACCTATAGACCGTTTATTTCAAAAAATCATCAAGTAACCTTTATAAAATTAATTAGAAAATCAATTAAAATTAATTAGTGAAAATTAATTCACTAATTAATAAGTGAATAATTTGATTAATTTTCCCTTTGTGAAATCCCAACATTATTCATTTACAATTAATGTGACAACTTTTGACCTATACAAAGCTGGTTACGAAAATCTCGTAATTTCATTTTAGTAAACTTTACAATAGAAAATAACAGTTCAATGATTAATAGACCTACGATCCATAATCGTTTATAAATAATTAAACATTCAGAGGCACTTTCAAATTTCTCTAGGCATATATGAGCCTTTCGGTTGACAGAATGACTAACTCTAATTTCAACATTCTTTATTATTAATTTTACTGATGTTTCTAGTAGTAAAATTTACACCTTTACTCACAGTTCTATATTTCAGCACTTCATTCACCTACTCCGAAATCAACTTACTCACTTTCTATATAAATGTAACTTTCCCAACTAGAAATATCACTAAAATGACATTATTCAAAAACGTTGAAATTGGAGTTAGTCTTGCTGTCAACTAAAAGGCTCAGAGACTGAAGTTATGTGTTTTATAAAAGCAGATGGAGTTAACAGATTTTTATTTCCTACAGTCAAGATAATAAGTAGTCAGAAGGTATGCGTATAATAAATCGTTGGAAGGCGGAGAATTTTAGAAAAAAAAAATCTAATGTTGCAAGTTGTAGAAGGTAACAGAGAGTGGCGAAAAAAATATAAATAATAATTTCTAAAAACTATCATTATTTAACGTAAATCACTTTTTTCAGGGAAATTAAATGAAATTTTCTTACTAAATGTAAATTTTAAAGTTTTTTTTAAGTTTAGAAAGGTATTTAAAATCCACAGATTTGAGGCAATGGCATTGTTTAAGATACTATTTCATTGTATTGTGTAAAAGAAGAAGTGAAAAAAAAAAAAAATTCAATCTTAAATACATTTGCTTTGGTTTAATAATTCTAGATCTGATATTATATTTAAATAATTAGGTATCAATGTCCGTTTATTGCGAAAAATCGTCATGTAACATTTTAGAAAATTAAATTAGTGAATGATTTGAAGAATTTTCCCTTTGTGATATTGCAACAGTATACTTACACCACTTACAATTAATGTGGCAATTTTTGACCTGTCTATGACAAACAATGAAAAACCCCATAATTCCATTTTAGTAAACTTTGCAATGGAAAATTTTTCTTCAAGAGCCTCAATAACCTATGTTAACTTTGGCTTAAAATGATCGAATAAGTATCAATATCCACCCAGTATCTTAAAAAAATTCTTTCGCAACTGATGTACAAAAGTATTCTCCTTAAAGCGTCTATAGTTCAAGCTATTGAATATTGCGTAACCGAAAGTAGAGTTTGGAATTTGATGAAATTGATACGGTATCCTCTAGGATACCAACCTGCACAATCACTGAAAAGTTAATGAAAATCTGATTAACAGTAGGTGATATGCTCGTTGAATACATGCACGAATGGAAACAAATTTATTCCTCAATCTCAAATCTCAAATCAGAAATCTTCAATTCGGAGGACAAATATTCTTTTGCTGACTTTTTACAAGTAGAAAAAATCTGGTGCGCTCAACACAAAACTTTCACTTACCGATCTGCTATGAATAGAAATTATTTTCTGGCAATGCTGGGCTATAATAATTTTTTTCGAATTGCATTTTAAAGTGAGCTAAAGCTTAAAGCTTACAGATAACAATTCATTAAGACCATTATAATTACAAAATGTCTATTTAATATATCGACAACAGGCAATAAAAATCTAGTCACTCCATCTGATTTTATAAGCCACACAACTTTCTTTGCTTTTATAAACTTCAGAATGACTAACTAAAATTTCAGTATTTTTAAGTGATGTCATTTTA